GTTACAATCTGAGATAGAACTTTGATAACAGAGATTGTCAAGTTTAATATGGGTACACATAAAAGCTTAACATAATTGAATTGTGTAAGCTAAGTACTGTACATTATTAATCATTACGTATCAATATATCGCATCATTATCATTATCAATATATAAAGAAAAAAAAAACCATAAATTATATTTCGCTACAACCGTGCCTAAGAATATCGATATTCAATTAACCGCCAAATTTTTGTGTAATGGTGTTAAACTTTCTGAGGATACTGTACGTACAGTACATAGCTTTAGACTATCTCCATAAATAATAAACGTTACATTGATCATGCCGAAATCAATATCTTATCGAATCGGCTGAATAATCATTCGGTTAATTTTTCATAAGGTGTCCCAGGAATAATGATAACAGCTGTAATTACATACGCGCGTACGTACACATTCGGCTAATTTTTATCATGTGTTCCAGGAATTAGTATTATACCAGTTGTATAATACAGTAATACGGTATAGTAAAATGTATAATGATGCACCACCAAAATTCGGCTTTCACGTGATCAAATTCCAATCAAACTCGAGATCAGGTGTAACGTAACACAAACAGAAAAATTCAAATCAAAGTACGTTTTGTCAAAAATCGCCTATAGCTCAAGATTTCGATTAAAACTCTTATTATTTAGCCTTAGAATTTTTTTCGGCTATCACGTGATAGCCGAATTTTGGTGGTACTGGGGAAGATTATGTTCGATCGGATGCACATGATTCGAGACAAAAGCTGCCTCGATACTTACGTATCGGGCAGCTATTAGCCTGAAATACTCATTAACAACCCTAGTGATCCCCCTCTATGAGTTATCAACGATCACGCCATTCATGCGCTACGAATTCCCGGGGTACTATCGAACGTGTCGAACAAAGAGTATTACATAAAATTTTTCGCAACAATAGATAGTACGTATAGCCTCCAAAGTTTGTAACGTTTTTTTTAAATCCAGATTAACGGGATTGAACATTTAGTAAATTAGTAAGAGAAAAAAGGGTGTTTATTCACAATACAATTATAATGTAACAGATTGTTAGAGGTTACATATTCAACCGTTTTGACCCGAGTTGTAAATTTTTGACCCGGATGACCCGGTTTACTATAACCCGGTTCTAAACTCTAGCACCAAACTCCTCATGGTCAACTTAAGATTGGTAAGAACTAAAAAAAAAAAAATTGTGAATATTGATTTAAAAATGTAAAAGTCTCTTCGGAATGATTAAACACTTACATTTCCTACAATAGCTAACGGAATATCAAATATATCTCGTTTGATGGTAAAACAGAAAGCACAAGGAACTGGCATCCCAGACGGTCTCATAAGAATACATGTAGTCATGACAGATTGTCTTGAGTTATCAAATGCATGTGCTGCAAATTTCTCCCAATATTCTACAGCAGATTGATTATCCATGACCTTAAGACAACAAATAAGTACTTAAGAAAAATCAATGGCCACACATGCATAAAAAGTCTGGAAATGATTCCATACCTCGTATATATACGTTGTTTTTCCAAGTAATTGGTCTTTAGTCCATTGTGTCAGCAATAAAAATTCCTTGCCCACTAGGGCGATCTCTCCTGTTCTACGCCAAACAACCGTTGGTGTTCCAGAAAAACTTATAAGCTTCTCAAATTCCTATCTCGCCAGCAAAAAAAAATAAATAAAATAAAAAATAGCGTTGCATTAGCAAATTAATGTAATATCATGCTAGAATAAATAAAGTAACAAATACTTACTAATATAGTTCTCTGGAAACATTTTTCCATAAAAATCAAATCTTCTTCAGTCAAGTTCATTATAAGTGCAATAAACGAAGGCCGAAATGTAGCCAACGCTCTTACAATCCTCTCAATATGATCTTTTTCCATTCTAATATATATATATGTATACAGATGCACACGACAATTTACCGATCTTAACAAAATAACTAGTCCCTGAACATTAAATGATAAAACCGTGTTACCTTTCTTTAACCCAATTTACTAAATAATGGAACCCTTCCGTGTATGAAAACGGTGTTTTGACATTCGCATAAACGTTTTCTGGTGTATTTGAACACATCTTCTTTTTCCCAGAATTTTCTCTTTTTTGACTGGTACTACCACCATTCAGACCACCAGGCGTCGTCATGACAGGACTTGTCGTGCGTTGTAACTGTGGTTGTTGCCAATTCTGATCGATCATACCAATCTCCGCAAAACCGTTCTGTGGACCTAATGATTCTGTAGAAGCCGAGGATAACATATTGCTTAGGATTGAATATTCAAGGTTCACAGCTTCAGATCCGAAACCATAATTAACCGTCGCAAGTGGGTAGCTTTCTGGGCCAAACAACGTACTGGGATCCACAATATTATCTAAAAATAAAATTAAAAGAATTTATAAGAACAATTAATGGCCCAAAAATAACATTAAATTATACCCTCATCTCAAGACTTTGCCGTACAACTCAAATATGAATCTCATACAATCGAATTATTTAATCTGAACAGATAAATTTGATTCTTCGCATATTGTAATATTCTGAGTCGCCAATTTGTATTTGTATGATCATCCTGGAACATTACAATAGTTGAATATACTCACTAGGAGTTGATTGAAATCCATTGTGCATAAAAACCGTCTGATTGGTTTGTGGCGGAGCTATAAACAGTGATTGACCAAGATTATGTATATAGTGAGAACGGTGTTGTCGAGAATAGAATAATTGTTGATAATTATAATCATCGGCAAAATGTGATGATAATGGAGATATTGGAGAAGTTGAAATAAGACGTCCCAATGATTTCAGGTAAACCGATTCATCAACAGTTTTAGGCTTTGGTTTTTTTTATTTATTATTTTGGAAATGATCAATTTAAAGTATTAATAACGGTCTTGACTGAAATTGGTTAGGAAAAAAAAGTTTAACATACCAGAACCAGTTGTCGATTATTATTAATAAACGAAGACGGTATAGGATTTTCGTGATAAGTGGAAAATGGTCCGGGATGAGTTTGTTGAAAAGGCGTTGGTGGGTGTGTAAGGATAGGAGTAGGTGGAGATTGATATTTGGTTTGTTGTTCAATAGGAGTCGGTGTAGAGTTATTGTAATAAAATTTATGATCGATTATTTCATACACTAGTGGTTAGTAAAAGTGAATATCGGTTGGTTGAAAAACTTGCAAAATCTCCATTAACCACCACACTTGACAAATTAATAAAGTGCTTTTTCCATTATAATTCTTTGATCAAAAATACCAAATAATTATACGATCAACAAATATCGGAAATTGATTATATTGTATATTGGTCGCGCACCATCATAATGTGAATCTTGCAAGTACTTTGCCTTTTTGCGAATACCGTCAGTACATGAGGCTGCTAGATCTCGTTTAATACATCGCTGACAGGGTCTAGCTGTTTATGAAACAAGAGTAAAATGAAATAAACAAATGCTTTGATATTTAGATTAATATGTATGTGTATAAAATAGTTGTAACATACAATCGTCGCAAGTCAAATGGGCCTTTTGGCAATGGAAACAAGCCCTTGTGGCTTTTTTCCTTCGCATTGAAGTACCCGTATCATTATGTTCGGAGCTCGAGGTTTGTGTACTTTCTGACATCGTCTTTTCCTATCAAAATGTATTGATTCTTTCTAAAAGGTTCTGTACAGCAGTTTTTGTAAAGACAGAATTTATAAAAAAAAAAAATTGCAAAAAGCAAAAACAAAAAAAAATACGTAATCCGGATGCACACACGTATCTTATATTGAATTATTGTACTACCAATGTACTACAGTGCGGGACAGCACCTTTTTATATATGTTTTACAAAAAATATTATAATTTAAAAAAAATAAAAAATAAATATATAGATAAATAAAAAAAATTATTCTAACCAATTTGTAGCTTTAAGCTTAAGCTACAATTTGGCTAGAATAGATTTTTAAGTTAAAAAGTTATAACAATTTAAAGTTTATAATAGCTTAAAAATTTGGCCGTTAAATATATAAAAAAAATAATTTATATATAATTTTTAACCAATCACAATTGATTATATGAAAATTAGCCAATCAAAATTGATTATGTAATTTTAAAATTTGGTTGTCCCGCACTGTACCACAAAATCACACTTATATAAAGGCTAGATCACAGGAATCATGATAGAATTAAACATGGCAGGTTCGTTAAATTCCTCTTGTGCATTTCCGCAAAAGTCTACTTTACACTGATTTGCTGCATGCTAATTTGTAAAAAGTTGATGGATATCGTATAATTCTTGACAACGATCTTGATGAATGGTCAGATGTTGAAGCGGTTGAAGAAACGAATGAGAGTGGACAGGGGGGGGAAACGTCAACAAGACAAAATTCAAGTAAATCAGTGAAGGTGGATGTAGAATACCAAAATGAACTAAGGAAAATTATCCTTAGCATACAAAATGATCTTAGTATATCGCAGGATGAAAAGGCGAAGAAAGTTCAAGTAACTAATATTTACAGTTTCATGATCTTTTTTATTTAGAAAATCTTAGATTTCCTTTCACATTTTTTTAGGAATTGATGACATTTAGCTGGCGACAAAACGAAAAAAAGTCAACAGACATTGACAATGAATCTGTTGATGATCTCAAACCAACATATACTGTAAGCGTTAGTTTTTAGTACATATCTATAAAACTATGAAATAATTAATTCTTCAATCGACATTTAGTATGAGAACTCACAAAAATTTGGGTGTAAACACTATCAAAGAGGATCAAAATTGCAAGCAGAATGCTGTAAAAGACTGTTTACATGTAGATTTTGCCACGATGAAAAATGTGATCATAAAATTGACAGGCAAGTTTAAGAATTTCCTATTTTTCAACAACTCTTAAACTGATATTATCTATATTATTACTAGACATGCCACCAAAAATATGATGTGCATGTATTGTCAGACCATTCAACCGGCCAGCAAATCTTGCATTAATTGCAAACGAGAATTAGCACGGTATTACTGTGATAAATGTAAATTCTGGGATGATCATCCGCTTAGAGACATTTATCATTGTGATCATTGCGGAATTTGTCGGAAGGGACGGGGTCTAGGTAAAGATTTTTTCCATTGCGACGTATGCGATTGTTGCTTGGAGATCCACCTGAAAGGTATGCATAAGTGTATTGAAAAAAACCTGGATCGCGACTGCATGATCTGTGGGGAATATCTATTTTCATCAACAATGGAACCTCATCTGATGGTAAGTATTACTTTATTTCGAAACATCCTTGGTTAAAATTAATTGGGCCATTTATATATTAGCTATGTGGTCATAGTTTGCATAAAGAGTGTTTCGAAGAATACAGCAAGACCGCATACCAATGTCCAACGTGCTGTAAGTCTATTGCAAACATGGAGATTTATTTTCGACGGATCGATGCCATTGTTGCTCAACAAAAAATGCCACCCGAATATGAGCACTTCGTTGCGCACATATTATGCAACGACTGCGAAATACGTAGTACTGTTAGTTATCACTTCTCATACCACAAATGTCCTGAATGCCGAGGATACAATACCAAAGTCTTGGAAATAAAGTCAGGACTGCCAGAAAATAATCCACCCAAGAGTGAAGGATCAAGCAGCTCGACAGTTAATAGCGGGTCATCTAATAGTTCACAAGCACAACAGTCAAGTGTTACGGAAGTCACTGGTATGATTCAGCGTGGAGAAGGGTCATCTGATAGGGAATATGTGACAGAACACCAGACAAGAAATCCCATGAATTCAATAGAATCAAATAATGATGCTTAATACGAAGGAAAAATATCATATGACTACATTAAGGTAGTATTTGAAGATGTATGTTGTCAAGGACAAATATTTTATCGTACAGAAAGAGGGCATACTTAGATTGATTAGTGTAGAATACTAGTTTATATTTATATAATCCTGAATTGAGATTATACTTCAAGATTGGTGTGGCAAGAAGTTAAGGACACAGTTATCATCAAAATAATATGCTCATTAGTAAATACTGTACAATATATATATATGTGTATTTCTTTATTAAAATTTTACAGCTCAACAAAATAAACTAAGTGATTTACTTTGTAAAAAGTTCGAAGTGTAAATCATATGGTTAGAATGGAAGTTGTGACTGCTATATGGAGTTTTTGCGGAAGAGTGTAAACTGCCCTGAAGATAAAAATCGTGCTTTTACCAACGCAAACCACGGTCGATCTAGTCGATCTATGTGATGCAGAAATCAATATGTAGTGGTGTGAAAATACTATGCAAAGTACCCGGGTATTATCCCTAATTAAAAAAAATATGCCATGTAAAATACCCGGTATTTTAACTGGGGCCTTTTTTTGGTTTTAAGATTTTTTTTTTTTTTTTTAAAGCGAGGCCGTGCCTCTGTTCCTTTATTAGAATTACAAATGTTATTACAATACATTATGTTTTCTAATCTATATGGAATTAAAGGCTAAAGCTACTTTACTTTTGACCTAAGCTTTTGCTAAGATAGGTCGAACGACCTCATTAGTTTATGTATGGAATTGTAAGTGGTGAGGTGTTTGCTGTTATAAAGTCATTGAGCCAGTAGTTGTATTTGTATATTTTATGGTAAGCTGGGTGTTTAGGTTGGTGTTTGTTTGTAGTCGGGGTTGAGGATTGGGAGGTTTGTTCGAGAGTTTAATGTATTTTGCTTTTCAAATTTTCTTTTGAATCTTCTTAATGACATGATGAAAAAAGGAACAGGTAGGATTCTTTGACATATCAGTTTTTGTTTGGGGGTTCTTGCTAATGATAATGTTTTTAGTAATAATTTCAAGAGGTGCAGATTGTGATCTGTATATGAATTTCTGTAAGAAGTTTTGTTTGAAGTTAGTTATATTTATATCTATTTAATATTTTTGTTTTGTTTGATTGAGGACTTGTATAATTATTTCTTCGATTGAATGAGTATTGGTTGTGTATGTAAGCTAGTATTGGTTATCTTTATTTGCTTGTATATACTGTATCTGTGACATATAGAGTTGTTGTATTTTATTAGATGGTGGATATGTAAGTTTTTTTTTTTTTTTTTGATGTTAAGGTGACTTCTTTGCCATGTTGCTCTTTATTCTAATATCAGTAGTCTTTTTGACCATCAGACACATTCTGATGGTTGTACATATTTGTAGAGTACAACTAGCCATATCTGTGCTTTTTGAGTGCCTATTTAAGTAGTCTGCCTATTACTAGGTTTTACACTAGATGCCATACCTGCACCCTAGCAGAGGGGTTACCCATTTAAACCTTCTGCGTCTATATATCAACTCTTTTGTAAATATGTAAGTTAAAAAGTATTGAAAGCTTGTTTATTATTAATTTTATTTTAAAGGTTTTGATGTTGGCTTTGGTGGAATATATATTTTAACTTAGAAAACTATTATGATAGTTTATGAAGTTGAAGGTAAGTTTTTAGTTAATCTTTTTTGAATCAAGATTCTATAGATGTATTCTATTTAGATGGTGCCAATTTGTTATATTTTTTGTATTTTGTAAATATTTTAGTAGTTTTTTTAAATTGTGAGAAAAGATGTAGTGTTTTAGTTTAGGGGTATAGGTGTTGTATAGTATTAATTTTGTATTAATTTTGTATTAATTTTAGTAGTGATAGTTGAGTTCATAGTATTTGTAGTTATTATTTGTATTTTTAAATCTTTCTGTATAATTGCTGTTTTTATGATTGTTTTGTATATTTCAAAAGGTGTAGTTAGCAGTTAGTTGGCAAGATATATATAGGGTTTGGGCTATATTTATAAAATTGTAAATTAGTTGTTTTTTATTAGTAATAATGTTTACTGTATATATACTGTATATAATACAGCAGTAATTAGAGTTAATAATGCTATTAATAAAGTTTTTTCATCAAAAAATTTTTAAATAAGATATATATCAATTATCATCTGCAAGGATAATTGACATCGATTTATATTAATTATAATTATTTGTATTATTTAAATCTAAATAATTGTAATTAATTAGCATTGATTTATATTGATTGCAATTATTTAGATTTAAATAATTACAATTAAGGGTATAACGACTTAGAGTAGTGGTTAAGTTGTCATCCCCAAATGGCAGGTCTAGAGTTCGAATCCCACCAGAGACGTTTTTAGAAAAATAGGCCTGTGTTCCGGTAACAATTATTCAATGATCGGTTGGGTATATTATCTGTAATCTTGGTACTACCATTTCGAAATGGAAGCTCTTGGACGATTTAAATCCAAGGAACCAGAATAATTGAAACCTGTTTGGCAAGACCCAAGTAAGGAGATAGTGAAGATCTTTGATGATACTGCAGAAAAATCAGAAACTGGTGACCGAAGAACCAGACGAAAAACCCTGGGGCAAGAAGGGTTCACCAACCTGAGCACCAGAGTCGCACCGGAGGAAAAGGTCCTATGCTACGGAATTAGGAACCAAGGGAAGTAAAACCAGAAAGCACTTAAAGCCTAGGTACAACGACCTGTCTGGGCTAACTGGTTTGGTAGTTGAGAAAGGATCGGTATAAAGACCAGCTTGATGTGAATATCGGGATTGAAACGAACCTTGCAAGGGCATCAGATACTGGAATTGTGCGATTTAATGGTTCGCTCTGACTGCTAGTAGTGGTTTCGGCTACTGTGGAAGGTATTCGTAGCCTAATCTGAAAGTGCATAGGACATAGAAGGATTAGGAGGGTATGTATTACACCTTCTCTAGGGCAACTCAGTAATATGAGAACCCTACTGGGTTATCTATAGAATTAGAGTATAAGTAGTATAGCAGATATCAATCTGAGTGGTCTTTAATAAGAAGTAGCATGAGGTTATAGATTGGTGTGATTGTGGTGGTAGTGCAGGACCGGGAACGTTAGAGGTTTAAATAGGTAATCTCTTAGTTAGGTTACAGGTATGGCATATAGTGTAGAACCTTCGGGCAGACTACTTAAATTAAGCAACTAAAAGTTGCACGTGTGGCTATATATACTCTCGCTAACCAAGAATTTACTACTAAAATATCTAATAAAAATCCACCCTTCTACAACATTGCAAAGGTATAAAAATAATAATAATAATAATAATAATAATAATTATAATCAATTATAATCGATATAAATCAATACTAATCACTTCTGCAGATAGTAATCGATATATACTTTATTTAAAAATTTTCTGATATTAAATAGCTAGGTTAGATTAGAAATTTGAAGATTAAAAAATGTATTAGTTATTATCTAGTATATTGTGGAGTTGTATATTGAGTTTGTACTATTAAATTGTATATTTATAGTAGTATTTAATACATTTTTTCTACAAAAAAAAAACACATTTTATCAACTCTTTCTGACGATCACTTGAACCAAGACCACATCAAAACAGTTTAAAAATTCTAGGCTCTAAAAAGTCTGAAAATACCTGAGGTTTCTTATTAGTACTGTTGTTAACGAAGACTTATACGTAAAACACTGAAAAGCAGGGTATATATAGTTGATTTGTGCTTTAGATCAAGCTTTTCTTCTTGGTGAACTCTCTCACATATTCGGCATCCAAGCCAAAAGGGTTATTTTGGTAATAGTAGTGGTGAAAAACTCTCGACTCAAGTGTCTAAAGCTTTTTAGTTCTATGATGAACAACTAGAAACACCTTCATTGTCTTGAGCTCTCACAAATACAGTATTTTTCTTCCTTTGATACTTTTGATTATAATTTTTAACAAAAAGTGGGAAATTCAGCATATTCTCTTCTAAAGATTGGCAATATTTATCACTTCCATATCAGAAAAATCTGCATAATGACAAACAACACATGTAAAATGGACAGTGCTAGCAAATTTAGTAACTGGATGAGTGTTCGAAAGAATACCTTACATATGTGTTGTTGAGGATATACAAACACGTAATCATTAGATAGTATACATGGAGATTTCAAAATTCTTATACTTTCAAATAAAGATATGGATTTAATTAAAAGTGTAAAGTAAAGTGATAAGAGATATACAGGCATTTTCTAGTCACCTGTATATAATTTTTAGCTCTGGCACGAGTTATAATGCATTTTATTTTAGCTTTATATTTCTTATCAAGACTCTCATATTTAATAGTAGATCGTAACTCTGTATAATTAGAAGTTTTTGCTTGATTAGCAGGTTTTCTTCTTTTTAGTAATAGTTTCTTTTAGGTTTTAGTTTAGTTGTTTTATATTCCTTAGTATTAGTATCTGTTTTCTTTAATTGACGATTCTCTAGTCAACTGAAGAATGATCATAGTGAAATGTGACGTGGTTCTATATATAAATTACTATAGGTGCGAAAGTAGAAATT